CCCCAAAACCCCAAAACCCCGTCGTGCGATTAGATTAAAACTGAAAAGAAGAAGTCTAGGAATTAAGAAATGAAAATTTAATATGTGGTCGTAATAAGTAAGTTGATTTTATTATACTTATCTTCATCGGTAATCACAGTGGCTTTAATCTCTGTTTGTTTTTAATAGGAACTGGCTAAATCCACTAATAAAATGTGCTATTGCATGTCTAGTGTTAATCTATCGTTCTTGGTCTTTCTCTTAATATTGAATTCACATTATCTTTTCTCTGTCTTCTCTAAATCATTTCTCTATAATCCATTCCGAAATTCTCATCAATTTTAATTTTAAGATTTTGATTTTAAGATAGTTTAGTGTTACTCTTTGAATCTAATTCATTGAGAGTAAATCCAAATTTGAAATTTGTCATCGTTTTATTTTTAAAATCATTTGAAGACTTGCAAGCACTTAAGAGAGTATCCTTGAGTTTTTAAATTTCCCCTTAAGTGTTATAAATGTCAAAATCCACTTTGACTGTTTTGAAAAAGTTTGAATCCTAGCCAGGCATTTTAGCCATTTGTATCTCAATATTTTTTCTAACTTTTCTATGATTTGATTGACACCTCTTAGGCGGACTTTGATACAGAGAATTATCGTATTATGGATATTTATCTATAGTTTCAGACCTCAATTATGCTTACGGCTCATATATTGTATCAAGATGGCCTAATTAATTTTTACTATCTGGGGATTACTGTTGATATGCCAGTCTGAAATGACTTTCTTAATATTGTTTCTAAATATCTTTCATTCTGTTATGCCTCTCAAAATAATTATCTTGGTCATTGTAGGCAACGAAAGTTTAGTTAGATAAAGACTGATCAAGCCTCACACTCTAGTTAAACTCTCCTCTAGTAACTGGACCGAATCGAAACTGTGCTGTTTGCTGCCTGAGTTTAGTTTTCTGAATGCCAGTTGGGGGATTATCAAGCAGAATAGAGGGCGAAAGACTGAGTTCTTAGCTTATTAGCTTATGATGAGGAACAAAATTTTCCTGTGAAATACTCCTAAGTTCTGAAGGCTAACTAAATTGGAATTGTAGATTGTCATCGTATATTGTTTTTTGATGTTTTTCTACAATTTTAGGCAGTTAGTCTTACTCTTAAATCATTTGATACATCTGGTTAACTGTTTGAAAATGGTTATCTTAATCTTTTTTATGTTTAAAGTCACTTGTTGCTTTCTACTGCATTTCTATTTAATACTACTAATTCTTCCAGTAGTTAATGAGAGACATGAATTTTTTCTTTCTCATTTTATCATATTGCTCAAAATTTGCATTCTTAGGAGTTATTTATAGAATGCTGTTGTCAAACCCAAGATCAAAATGCGCCTTCTTGGAATTGATAACATCAGTGTTAATTTAACTTCTGTTTCTAATATATTTCTCAACATTTTATGCAACATTTACTGGTTTAAAAGCATCTGCATTTGTTGTTTAATATCTGGCAATTTTATCACCAATTTTGAAATTCGTTAGTCTCATCTAAATAAGGCGTTACCTATCAAGTAAATTTGAAAGTATATTAGGTTCTCATTTTGTAGTTGATTAACTTTTATCTCTAACTGAGTGAAGCATATTCAAATTTTTCATGGTCTTTGTTGGCTTATCAGCATTTGAGTCAGTAATTTCTTCGATTAAATTACTGTAGCTTTTGTCAGAGTTTGCATTTATAACTGTCTAATTCACTTGCTATCTATTCTTATATAGACTTTTATCAGCTCTGAAACCCAATCTGAAATTTGTCTTTTTCATTGATCTGCCAATTTATCTTCCGTCATTAAATGGCTTTGATTCAGATATATTTTTTTCATCATAGGTCTTCTTGCTTGTTGTCTCGAGAACCTTCGATTGCTTAGCATCGTTTTAATTACCCATCTGTACATTTGACCTTGTCTTGAGTGACTTTTTACCCTCAATTATTTTTATTCCATCTAAGCGCGTTTTACTCTCCTCAAGTTCCTTAACATTATAACTAGCTCAACTTATAGATTCCCTTTAAGTTCCAGTTTCAAAGCCAAAATTAAAATGCGCTTTTTTGGTATAATTCATTTGATCAAGCCTGTCTTATTTGGTCAGATACTCTCCTTCAACTTGAGTTCTGTTGATGAATTTCTTATCATTACTAATTTTATTTGTATGTTTTTTGCGCTCCCATAGCATTTTAACTTTAAGAATATGTGATTCAAGCTTAATTTCTGATGGATCGATTTTAGTCACAAATCTTGGACTTCTTGGAGGGATGTCATTTCTCTCATAGGCTAAACTCATTTTAATAAAAAAATAAATATTAATTGATATTTTATTTTTAATCAGATAATGAAGATTTTCAATGCTGGGGTTTTGGGGTTTTGGGG